TTGTTTTGTATGTGGGAAGAGGTGGGGCGGCGCCCCTAGCGCCCCTATGGGCCGGCCGCCACTGGTTTTATCTCTTTGACATGTTTGGCTCCTTTTCATCGTCGTTGCTTGCTGGGGCAACGCAGGACTGGTGAGGAGGGAGGGGGGCTGTGAGTCAGTGGGCATCTGACCCCCTCCCGGGCGTAATGCGCTTACGTTTTCCTGGGCCCCAGTCCCGGGGGACGTGGCGTGCACTGGGACTATAGGGGGCTGGAGGACTCTTTCCCCCTGCTTTAGGGCAGGAGGGGGGAGCCCTCCACGTCATAGTCCATACACGCTCTTCGCGAGGTGAGCGTGTCTGAGTGTGGGACATGGGGCACTTGTGCTCTCCCCGCGCTCCTTAGGGACTCGGGAGAGGTGGTGCATAGTGAGCCCATACGGGGCTGAGGGCTCTCTCCGTTCGCCTATGGGCGGAGGGTGGGAGCCCTCAGCGCTGTTTTCCGAGCACACCTCCGCGGGGTAAGCGTGCCAGAGTGTGCTCTGTCAGCCGCAGCCCCAACTTTCTCCACAGTTACGACCGGGGAGAGGTGAGTGAGGCGCAGCGGCTGCTAACCAGAAAGCCGGTCAGAGACAGTGAGATGGAACAGTGTTGTTGTGGGACGACAGCGCGTGTATACATCGAGCCTGTGAGAGATATAACGAGGGGTTACGTATCCTTGTTATATAAACACAGGCGGAGCCCTCTACTCAGGGGCCCTGTCTGTCCTATGCTGCTTGCTGAAGAGAAGTGTAGGATGGCAGTCAGGAGGCAGGCCTCCTTTTTATGCGGTGAGATGGGCGCGCATTCAGGTAGGCCCGCCCGGGGCCGGCTACGTCTATAGAAGTCTCAGTGGATGAATGATTACATGATACATATGATCCTCCACATACTTTGGTGTTACACTAAGCATGGCTATGCTTGTCATATAGTATCATTTAATTGTTTTGACAAACTATTTTTCATCATTTCTTAAATCTAAATTATTATACTTACATTGTTATCATTTTACAATCTGCTTTGGCTATTCAGTATATTATTAAACAAATTAGGCACATTTTAGTTTGAAATAATGTCATTTTGATCAAATGGGATACTGGATAATCTACTCTATTAAGTATATTATTATAGTATAATATCATATTATTTTTAACGTACTTCTATGAGACTCAGTTCAGGTGCTACCCACAGCTCTCCCTCATGTGTTAGCAGCCTTTGTAATGGATGCAGGTTTTGTGTCCAGGCAACCACCTGACTGACCTATAGGAGCCCTCTGCACTCTCTGACCTGTACACGTTCAGCTAATGCTATAGTAGCCTGCAGATTATGTATGAATAAAGGCAGGAATGCAGTAAGTAATCAACCATAGGAGGCTAATTTGTTTTTTGTCTCTAAAAAGCAAAAGTATAACCTAATAATACAAATAATTGAAGCGATAAGTGGTCACATCATATTGAAAATTATTACTTTTCTTTTCCTTATCGCTTTTCCCAGGTATGACACCGGGCAGGTTAACATTTGACTTAAAATCCAAACAAAACATGTGATGCTGATAATATCCAGCGGGTGGCAGAAGTGAGCTTCTTCAGAACATGTGTCGGCAAGCAGCTTACTGGTCTGCATTTGAATAAAGTGATCAGACGCAAGTGGGCTTCCTATATTTACCCTCTCTCATGTCAGGATTTCTCACAGGTCCAGTTTACACATTTAAATGAACATTACATTTTAATTTTTAGCCCAGGCACCGTTAAGGCTTCCACAAATCAAATTTCGAATTACCTCCTTTAAATTAAACCAAATGTACCAAATATTCCTTATTTGGTAACCATTTTAGCACCTCATGACACAACAATTTCATTATATACAGTTTCATTGCGGTAAGAAAATCAACTTGTATCCTCAATGCTACTGTTTGAGAATTTTGCACTGCCTTTAAGTGTTACTATATAGGTGAGATAAGATTATTAGCTTTCAAACGCTTTGCAGACAGGAATGTTGCATTCATGTGCTACTGTATTCAAAACAAACCTCCCTACAAGAAACAATTGTGAAGTCTTAAATGTCAGAGGGTTCCATATGCACATATATCCTGTTTACAACTGCAATCCTTTAATGAAGGGCTTTCAAATCTATGGGCTCGGAAGAAGAGTTAAAGTGTTATGCAGTGTACATTTAACATCCTTTTTTGATGCTTGGACGTAAGTGTACACTACCATTTTGTTTGTTTACCTTGTCTACCAATCTATTGTGAAACTACTTACTATTGGAGGAATTTTAGGAAACGTGACTGACTGCTTGTAAGATATTGATAAATCTTTACATAGCACACTATAAAATACTACTCTGCAGAAGGGATGAAAGCTCCAATGGTTTGTTAGTTAAAGCTATTGCAGTAACATAAATATTGTATACTAAAGTATAGTTTTTTTTTTTTTAAATGCATGGGTTTCTATGGAAAATAAAGGACTGAAAAGGCTCCGCGAAAAACGTTTTCTCCTGGGCCACGCGTTGACTCATTTAGAGCATGATTTAGAGCCTCACTCAATGTGTTGGTAAATGCAACAGTTTGTTACATTTAAAAATAAACCCCTTTTCACATGTTTATTTACCTCGAAGCAGTGGACAGTATGTCTTTTGACAGTTCAAGGATTCCCTCATACTGTATACGATCCAGCTACACACAATACTCCTGCTGAATCCACGTGAGAATCTGGAGAGCCACTCTTCTGCTCGGGGATTCAATTAACTGTGTTGATTTACCACATTTAAAAAATAACATTTATTTTGTAGTGACATAAAAATATTTTGTACTTCTGCAGGTTGAGTTAAAATTGTTTATAAAACTTTATTTTTCCTCTTTTCAACTCATGAGCTGTTCATCTTGGAAAAACCTCCAAGTGAGAACCCAAACCACGAACATGGTACACATACATTAAACAGCACACAGCGCCATCTACATCATCGAAACAAAACAGAGTCTACAGTGGAACAAAGCTTTGGAAATGATGGGAATAATGGTGATGATATATCACAAGACTGCCCATGTAGCTTGAGATTTAAAATACAAGAAAAGAAAGTAAGATACAAAAAAACCTTGAGGAAGAAATAAAAAGAGAGACCAGGAAATATTTTTAATACTGTAATGTCTGTCAGACAAACACAAAAGTACATCATACATTTTTCTCTGATTTCCAGTTGCTCCGTGTCCTATTTTTTTTCAACCTCTGGTAAAAGGAGACTGGAAACTTCTGCTCAGACTGAGGAGGTATTTGTACGTACGTATATCCTCAACAGGGCCATGCAAAGGGGTTACATTCAATAGGGGGAGTGCCAAATAAACCATAATAAAATAGAATTATGATAGACAAAATAAATTCATAGTTTCTGTATATATTGATCTTTTTCTTTTTGGCTTATAGATCAGCTAAGCAAAGCGATTCATTCCTGAGGTGTAAGGCTGTGGACACATTTCCAATTCAACATTGTGTATGTCAGCAGGGGGAAGGGTAATAGTCTCATTCTTTGCTATATGTTATATTTTATGTGTAGCAGAAAGGGAACCTGCTGTGAAATTCAACTTGAGCAGTAACAAACGGCAGACATAGTTTGTTTTTCGTGGATGAGGTGCTGGTGAGTCTGTGCAAAGCATTAAAAGCTTGCACCTATCTATCAACTGAGTGCCGTGCAACATCCGCCCACATCTGTTCTGCGTAGCATAGGGACAGATAGGCAGAAAAATATAGAATATTCAGGAACACAGACCCGACATGTGACACTTCATGCCGCCAGACTTCATTATAGGTGAGGGGGTTTCAAGCATAAAAAAAGCCAACAGAGTTTCCCGTCAGGCAGCAAGGAGATCTTCTTCACAAACGCAAATCACAAGAATAAAACCCAATGGCCGTACCTACTGGTGTGAATCTGATGCAGAGAAAACAACAGAAGCAATCGTATACGACGACTGTCAGTAGGATAATGCGAGGTAGCATTGATGAGGGAAACAGAGGGACCTGAGAGGACAAGCAGGCAGCGCTGGGTAAATGCTTGGATTTGCATTTCTGTGAACAAACAGAAGATAAATAGCTTTGTGAGATCGAGGGAGGTGCGTGAACCCCCCCGTGTCTGGGCTTCAGCTGGTGAACAAATCAGATAAATACTTCATACGCTTGCACGTGTGTACTGTGTGTTGATGTGTGTGCTGTCAGTTGCAGGAAGCAAAGAGTCACTCTGCCTCTAGGTTAGTGTATACAGTATGCATTCGAGAAAAAAACTGACTCTGCAGAGCAACGACTTTGATTACGTTGTTTAGAGCAAAAAGCTAAACTCTTCATTTAAGTTTTTTTTTTTTTGTCAAAGGGGCAAGTTCAATATCACTATCAAAATACTAATAACCCATTTACAAAGCAGAAAATATAACAAAAATAAAGACATTTAACTGTTAAGCTGTCTTCATACAGTAGCGTATTTTTAAAATCAGATCAAAATCAATTGGAAATGCATGCACAATGTGAATGAACATTTTCTTTTCTTTATCATAACACTGTAACATTGTAGGCTTAATACCTAGTCTGTTTTACAAACACTTAAAGGACACAAATAAAAACTAAGAGAAGTCACTGACATGCATGCTCTCATGCTGAACAGAAGAGAGACAAAATCACAAACATTATTAACATTTCACATAACAGCTATCTGAAAAAAAGATAAATGAATGGAATTTAAACCATGAGAAATGTCAATGTGAGGGGCAAGTTGGGAGGCGGGGTCTGTATGATGTTGAGGGTTAAAAGGTCAAGGGTCAGGACTGCTGGCCGCCCCACTGGCTGTCTACAGGCCGCCGAAGGAGCTCCTCTACGTGCCTCGCCACGTCCATGGTGTCGTCCAGGTCGAAGTCTCCGTCCGTATCCAATATAGAGTCGCTCCTGCCACAGGACACAGAGCGGAGCCAAACCACACTCAGACAAGCTGGCAGCACATCACTAAGAAAAATCCCAGTTGGAGCAACAAGACACTCTTTACTCGTATAAAATGCACAGTCACACACACCCTCACTCATTCCGCTCCTCATATGTTTAAAGGACTTGTTGACTCACATTGGGGGGTATATGCCGTAGGTGTGAGAGTGATTGACAGGTGCTGGGGAGGCGCCGTGATCCATATAGGTTGGATTCCCACTTGATGGGTCTGGATTGGCTGTCGTAAACCTGTATACAAACACACACACATGCAAACACACACACACACACACACACACACAAAACCAAGATAAAAGCCTATGAGTCTATGTTCAGCAGTTGCCTAAGCAACTACCCTCAGCGTGTTTTCCAGGCCTCGCTGCATCATTATGGCTATTCACTGTTCTGCGGGTGCACCAAGCATGGAGACAGGCAGGGAGTGGGGCTTTCTAACTAACAAGCCTAACTCTAATGATGAGTGGAAGACAAGCTTGCTCAGGAACCCTGGCCGTCCTTAATTGGCCTCCTCCAACTGTAACAGCTAACTAATAGCTGATCTGAATTCAGGATCCAATATTTGGTGATTAACTCTAAATGTTGCCTCAGAGTTAAAACTGCAGGGTCGTGGTCAGAGAATAAAGAAAGGAGCAGGAAGGGAAGAACAGGAGGACAAACAGGAAGCGTAATACTTACTCGGGCACCACTTGCTTGATCTGTGGTTTCACGTAGCCATCCACGGCTTTGGCTTTAAAACAAACACAGGGAGAGAGAGAATGACAGCTGAGTGCCGACGTCACACTGCAATCAATACATCCGCTCACAACAAAGCATCTGAGGCTGTGGTATTTCATTTTGAATGTAACAGCAGCCTGAACAAACATAAGGTTGCTTACAGAGTGGTGGGGTGTAATATTTGGAGAAAACCTCATCCTTGTGTCTGTCGGGGTAGAGGAACAGGAGGTGATTGAGATCGCTGATGCGGTCAGACAGGGAGCGAATGGAGAAGTCTTTGGTTGTGTACGGCATGAGGTTCCAAACCATTCTTTCACCTGGAGAAACACAGCATCCACAACAAAGTTTCAGCAATGTAAGGGACATAGGCAGTCTGTCTCCAAGCATGCGTTTTGATGTTGTAGAGAAAGAAGCTAAGAGACCAATTTTACAGAATGTTGTTTAGATTTAAGGCCTGTCCTTTGCCTTTTGCACGAGCAGGTACATTACCTGTATCTGAAGTGCCCAAGATAATGTCCACAAGTGTTTCTCTTGCCTAAAACTCATCATCAGTTGGTTTTCATTGCAGTGTAAAGAAACCAGAAAATATTCACATTTAAATAGCTGGAATCCTTTTTTCTTTAACAGTTAGTCAAACCAATTATTCAATAAGATTTAAATGGTCGGCAATTTATTTAATAGTTGACAACTTATCATTTAATCTTTGCAGCTCTACCTACCATGTGAAAATATGGGATGTATAAGACCCTTTTGCATCCTTTCTTGATATTAGCTATTAAGTCATTAAGTTGTGTATGGTTAGTCGGTACATCCATAGCTGTGATTAAATCCCCTATACTTAATATCAAAACATTTAAAGGGGCCCTATTACTGTATGCTATTCAGGGTTTTCTCTTTGCTGTAGTGTATTCCAAAGTTTCTCTCACACACCCTCCCCCCTGACTGGAATGCTTCAATTGGCCTCCTTCGTTAACTTCTGTAACTAAATGATATCACTACGCAACACTTGCGCTTCTATTGGCTAGCACTTCAACACTTTGTACGTGAAAGGCTAAGTGGTGGGACATCCACTGGCCAGCCAGCTAACCAATAAGATCAGACTGGGCTCGGGTTTCAGTCAGAGGTGCTGCAGCTCAGTTAGTATGAGAAAAAAAAGAAGACCTTTTTGTAACATTGAAACATGGAAATAAACGGTAGTGTGTCACAGTAGAGGTACAACATACAATAATGAAACCTGAACATTAGCATAATAGGGCCCCTTAAACCAGCACTTCCCACGAGGGACAATAACACACATGTACATGTCTTACCTGCTTTGTTAGGATTTTCTGCCACCCAGGCAATTGTAATTCCTCCAATCTCAGAATCACTAAATCGCAGAAGGAAAGTACCGTTGGGTTTGGACATCAGCATGTCCTGAGCCTGCTGCTTGTTCACAAAGCCCAAAATGGCTCTAAAAAAGAGAGGGATGTAAAGAAGAAAGAAAGACATTAAAATGTTCATGTGCATTCCCTCGCCACCTCTCTTATTTATTGCAATCTTAGGTTACAAGGGCAAGTGGGTCTTGCTCCCCAGTTTGCCATGGAAAATCATGACAGTGAAACATTGCCTGAGTTGTTAAGATTGATGTGGGTGGAGACATTTACTTTAACAGGACATGCAGTCCTGCTGTGAATCTGAAAAACATGCTGGTGCTTTTATGTTTGTGTTCCGCTGTGCTTTACAGCCTAACATTAAAACCAAAAAATAAAACTGCAATTTTTCCTACCCGTCATTCCAGTGTGGTTTGAGATGCTTTTTTGTGAGTTCCATCACTCCATCGAACCACTGCCAAAAAGTGAAGTTCCTCCCTGGCAAGCTTTCCTGTAGGAAATGTATTTTTAAAAACAGCCAGGATATGTATATATATTATAAGCTTTCCTGTTCCCGAGTGTCCATCCAGTCCATAAGTACAGAGAACAGCATGTCCTCATCCCAGTTGTTTATGATTTACCAAGAGTGCAGCTGCTTGTGTATATGTTGTATGTGCGGGTATTGTGAGTGTGTATGTGTGCAGTTCCTACACCAGTCTGTGAAGCGGATGAAACTTGATGTTCCTGTAATCTAATGAGACTGATGGTGTGTGGAGAACCTAAGTGTGCTTTCTACCTTTGCAAGCTGCTGTGAGCCAGAGAATGAGGCCTCCAGCCTTTCACTGTGTGGACAAACAGGCCCATTAAGATGAAGACCTGGCCATCAATGGGCCGTTCTCACTCAAGCTGACTACAGAACAGAGCTGTAAGGGCACAGCAAATGGAGCATGACATATTTCTGTGTGAATACCCAATAGCAAATCACCCCATGGAGAACAAGCATGTGGCTGAAATCGGCGTACTGAAAATGGCCTTCAGGCGTTTGAACAATGCAAGGAGGAAAAAACCCTCCCAGAAAGTAATCCATAAAGTTTAACTGATGATGACAGACGATAATTCTGCTTTATATAAGGGGAGAGGAAGAGGCTGGCACTGACCCTGTTAAACTGTGACCATGTCATAGTCAGGTTGCGGTAGTCGTCAGGGTTGTTGCTGGAGATGCTGAAGGCCTTCTGAGCGAGGAAGACCAGGTTCTCCTCAGACAGGCCTCGGTTACTCTGCACCTCAGCCTTGTACTTCATGTTGATGGCATCACACAGCTGAGGCCAGATCACTTTATCTGGCACGAGGAAAGGCACCCGTCCCTGTGGCACAGAGAAGACAGCAGAGGATTTACACCAGCTTTATCGACAGCAGAATGCAAAAAATAGTCATAGATACAGCATGTGCATATGTGAGCTCACAATGCATTACAATCAACCAGTTACCATGTGGATAGACACATATCCAGTACACAGAAATAAATGTGCTCTGTAGCTTGTTCATAAATAAAGTTATTCATATAAAGGGCAGCAACTGTTTAATGTTATAAAATGTCAGAAAACAACAACAAATGCCCATCTAAATCGTCAAAATGTATTACATAGAAAATAGTTTGAACACTGGAAAATTTTGATTTGACCAACGTAGTGGAAGGTTAGAAAACGCGAAAACACAACGTGACACACGAGAGCTCGACTTAATTGCCAACATCAAGAATTTAGGGAAAGTTATGACTGGAGAATTGCTGCAAGACATTTTCTGCAGACACAAAGTGACACAGCTCCTGGCTAAACAATACTCAACATCTCTCCTCCAAGTCCCATGTCTTTAGCTACAATAGCTCTGCGAGAATCATCAACATTCTACATAACAAACCAATAACTATAACACCTCTATCGGCTGACGCCAACAGGCAGGAGTGAGGAGGCAAAACCCAATATCTCAGAGAGAGAGCGCGCAGACCCCCAAGGTCGCAGGCCTGTGTGTGCTTGACTGGTCAAATCAATGCTGAACAGGTGATAAACAAAGGTACATTTGGTACATAAAACAGCCAGGTTTAGATGTTTTTGAAATATTTAAGAAACAAAATATAAAAAACGAATACAAAAGGTTAAACAAGTCTGAATGAAATTATGATCACACTCAAAAAAACCTTTACTCACAGTTTCTGCAAAAGCGTTGTCCCACAGGACGGTTGCTGTGGCGTTATTGTCTTGGCTACCGTGAACAATCACCACTACAGGAAGTGATAACGTCTGCAAAGAGAAAAAGGGGAGACCAGTTCAGCGGAAGAATGCTGTGACAACTAATACTTTTTTATAAGTTAAATAAACGAATTCCTACTCTGGAATCTTTCAATTCAACATATGCGTTGTGATTACTGCTACTGAAAAGCAACTAAACATTTAAGATTCATCAATATGTAGCTTCTGTAAGAATGAAGAGGAAACCAGTTTTATTCTATCGTCCACATGCTGCAAACTTGTGGATCCATTATCCAGATTGGCAAATCAATATGTATTTTAAAGCTGCACTTTAATCAATCATGCCAGATAATTATTACAATTATTCGTTTTTTTAAATATGTAAATTCAATGCCAGATAAAGAAATATCCATTACAAAAAAGCACAACAAAACAAGTGATAGGGAAACATTGCTCTCATATAGACAGCTATATGATCCCCAAAATACAGGAGGCTCAATTTATTTAAATTTCTATCAACATTTTTGAATGTACCGATGATGTTGACCTAATTATTTGAAATACTGGAGGAATCCTATTTATTTTATTTTGTCTTTTGTCACCTTTGTTTGTTTGTTACACAGTGTTGTCATAAGTTTTCATGTTTGTTATGTTTATTATTTTGCCTGTTACATAAAAAAAAAATACATATGGAACAAGATATCATATCAGATATCAGTCAGATGAAAATGAGTATGATTGGCCAGCTGCACTGTACTTCACAGTATGTGTGGGAGTGGCTTTGTAAGGTTTTGTGACTTGTAGCTTTTAATAATTAAACAGATAACCCCTCTTGCAGGAGTAAGAATGCAGAGTATCTTTGTGCGTCCAGGCTTTTAAATGAGTTTCTTCCTCTCTTACCTTTACTTGAAAAACGAGCTCGTTGCCTCCGACGCTGAACTGAGACTCGAACAGGATGGTGAACTTCTCCTCCGTGACAGATTCTGCTCCCCGTCTGTCCGATCGCTTGATCCTCTTCAGGGACTACATGAAAGATGAAATGAGTAAAAACGAGCAACACTGGATATATAGTACAGTTAGGCTGACAATGTACACATTATATGTACAGCACATGCATGCATGAGTCAGACCTGACATGTAAATAATTCATGGAGTTCTTTTGGGACGTGATGTACAGAGAGAGGCTCTACTGGAGCTGCACACTGATCCTGCAAAGCATTGCTGATTTGCCATCAGTTTATGTGGGATATACTGTACAGAAATTCTCACACTGGATGATGAAGTACAGCTCAACACTGCTACCAAACCCTACAAAATATTATTGAAATAATAAATATAGAGCTACAACTGTAAGATAAGTCACTGAATTGTTAAATTGATTGAAAGAAAGATAATTGCCCACTATATTGATATTCAGTTAATCATTAAAGTAATTGTTCCCCTTAAAAAAATGGCAGTAATTGCTGTTAGCCTCTCAAATATGTAGATTTCCTGCCTTTCTTTTTTATATCATATTAAACAGAATATTTCCTATCATCTAGGACTTGAGAAAATGGAATTGAAATGTAACAATATTTTCTTACATTTTATTAGACCAAATTATCAATTAATTGATCTAGAAGAAAAATCTGAATTTAAGTCTATAAGTCTAGACTATAGGACCTACATAACGTGCAAGTGAAGCTATTTCCCTTAAAAGGAAACGTATCTGACATATATAGGCACATCTTCCATAGATTTCCGTACTTCTGGTGAGCTAATAACTCAATGAGCTGTATGCAAAGGTAGACTACACTAACACTGAACCATGGACCCTGATTTTCTCATTTACTTCTCCTCAGGAACACTCACCATGTTTCTGAAGTGGGCGCTGAGAGTGCCGGTAGTCTGATGATACTCCATCACACAGTTATTGTTAAGAATTTCTCCGCTGCTGTCACTGAAGGAGAGACACAATCAACAAGTGAGTCAATTACCTGTAAAAATCTGCACTGAAGCACTCGAGTACTGAGGATTATATTTTTCCAAGAACAAATTAAATAAGAAAATGAGTGAGTGAAACACAACAGGGGGTAGAAATTATGTTCATGCTCGTATGACTAGAAGGGTTAACTAACACTATGTTCTCTAGACGAGCAAGCACCAGGCAGATGTCTGCAGATTGGGAGAGTGTGAGCAACAGCAGCAGATGAAGGCCGAGCTGATGAATTGCTCAACCATATAACCACTGGCTGCCTGGCTGACCTTGAGTCTCGGGAGGTTTTTGTATTTGTCAGGAGGAATGTGGAACGAGGCCGTGGAATAGGCTAAATGTGGATTCTGCATCCACACCATAGATTCCTCTGAGGCATTGTTCAAGTTCCAGCCATGTCTGTGTGGTGAGGTCTGGGAACACACTAGGCCACAGTTCATCCATTATCAACTAATCCATGAACAAAACTATGAATCGTTATCTCAATGGCGCCAATGGAGCTTGTCACGTTGTCCCCAGGAAATAAGGTAGGGATAATTCAAAGGTTGTGTACAAAGCAGGAAACAGCTGGATGTGTTGTTGCTACAGCATTTGTGTGTGTAACTTTTCTATATCAATTCAAAATTAACCCTTCGCTAAAGTTCCCAGAAAAAAACCCTAAACCATTTTTTTCTTGTTGACAATTTTGCTTTTCATTTGACAGAGGACAGTGAAGAAATGGAGGAGAGAAAGAAATACACAAACAACATCAACACGGTCTCTCACCTACATGAAAACACACCAAGGGTTCATTATTTTATTTTGATTTTATGAGTTTGACCTTTTCCTTAACTTATTTTATTGTAACACTTTGGCAATGTTGACATGGTCACGTTTAAGCCTACAAAGCATCTTGATTTGAGGGGTGTGACCTCCAATATGGTCACATTTCTATCGGTTTGCACAGTTTCTCTGTTTTAAAATCCACACATGAACAGGGCAATGCACTTACTTCCTTGTGTTCTCGTTCTTCAGCAGGGCCTTGGCCTGCTGTTCACTGACGATGGTGGCTTTCACCTGCGGAGGGTTCATGTGCACGTTCAATTTGCCTCCTACTAGAAGGCGCACTGTAGCGGCAAACTTGGTTTGGGTTTTCAGCACCTGGGGAGGCTGTTTCTCAATGATGAAGGTGCTGTGGAGACACAAAGGGAGACAGACTGAGTGACGAACTAAGCCCTGATCATTAGCTGGCTTTTTGTTGTATTTCATCAGCAATAGCATGCAATAATTCACATGTACATGCCATGATTGCTTATGCGGTTATTTTTGTTGTAGCTAGTTACAATGTATCATACATTTCCAATGGAATTGTGTCTAAATTAGAGAATGATACATTATAAAATGTTTACACTTTCAAAAGACTGCACAAATGTTCTGCATGTTCACTGTACACATACAGTGCAGTGTTTGGTGTTCATGCTAATTTCAAACTTACTGTCTCCTCAAGCCTCCTTTCAAATGTACATATTTGATAGCATTAGCCTTTAAAAAGAACTATAAAGTAGTGAAGGAAATGGAAGTAAGGTGGTATTTGTCTGTCTAGGTGTCTTCTGATGTTCACCTATACACAAACAGAGCAAGAGGAGAGACAATAGCAGACAGCCTAATGATCACACACACACACACACACACACACACACACACACACACACACACACACACACACACACACACACACACACACACACACACACACACACACACACACACACACCTAAGTGATGAACACAAAACTCTCCCATTCTCAGCCGGGGGCTTCAGGGGGAATATAAAGAGGATGTTGTTGAGGACACATAACCTGTGTTTGTACTGTGGGAGTTAGCAGTGCATTACTGCGTGGCGGCAGGCTTGTCTGTGGCCAATCAGGAATTGCTCTGACAGAAACATGTCTTCTCAATGTTCCCGGCTGGAACCATCTTGAAGAAAAGTAGAAGAGGACACTGGGTGCATACTGAGTCACTTCAATCTCTTCCACGTTTACCTCACTTGCATATTTTTCTTGTGTCTTATGTGAACTGTGCTAAAGCTATTAAAGGCGAGAATGTATCACCTGAACAGCAGCAGCCTGTTATCTGTTAACAAATACCTGCAGATGAAAAACAACCGGCACTTTGAATTCAAACAGAGTCCAGCTGAGAGGCAGAGGAACAGTAACCACATGCCTTTATTTATTTATATTCTGACAGTGGGTTCATTATTTATTAGCTTAGAATATGATGATGGTGTCTTTTGAACACTGGAAATAATGATCAGCCTCAGATAAGACTGAAGGGAAATGACAATTTTAAAAAGTGTCTCTTGCCGATGAACAGACTATCTTACTCAATCTGAATTAGATTGCATCCATGAAAAAATGTAATGCGGGAAATAACAGATTATGGGAAGAAAATGAAAATGTTGAGACCGTCAGTAATTGGAATTGAATAAGTGGCGTGTCGGCTGGTCAAAAACGTTCTGTGGAGGCTCTTGAGAGAAGAAAAAGAGCTTTGAGATGTTCTTCAAGAGGACAGACCATAAAAATAAGAATGATTAAATAAAAGGCTTGTTGTAAACTGTTGTAAACATTAAATGATGTTCTGTTCAGAGATGCTGGAGGGCTGAAAGACTCTGGCACATGTGCCTTAGGTGTCAACCAAGTTTTCTGCAATAAACAGTCATGAGGATTCAATCAAAAGGTGGATAAACAGAATGCCTGAGTAATTTAATTAGGTAAAAGAGGATATCCCTCTCGCTGTTGACCACAAACATAAATAAGGTTGTGTAAGTAGGACTTTCCTGCATAAAGACCCACTGAATGCAGGGAATGACAATGCCTCACGCATTGTTCATAAAACACCTACCCGCACACATGCTGGGGCTGATAAACCTGTATTGACATAATACTAGCCTACAATACTGCCCTTATATCATTTTTAGACAATATTCAGCCTTGAAAGGTGTTATAAACCCCAACACACACACACACACACACCTGGTGACCAATGCTGAGATGATATCTGTGATCGTACTGTTGAGGTCGTTGAGGAGCTCTTCAATGGGGCCGGGGATGGGCAGCTGTTGTCTGAGATGCTCTGCCCTCCGAATCTGCTGCCTGTTTTGCCAGATCGTTTCTGCCAGTTTCTCACACCTGACAAACAAAAAATAAGATTATCAGCCGAATAATATTATCAGACATATTATGTTTCCTCACTATTTATAGACAATGGAACCAACTACAGCAGCTGATTAGGAAATATTAAATAAAGTATAGTTTTAAATGACTCTGAAATCTTTGCCGGGATAGCATTTTTAACTGAAAATAAGAAAGTAAAAGCCTAAAAAAATAAGTTTGCGTTAAAGGAGCCAATAAATTATGGTAATAAAACTCAACGGTAGTCAATTTAGAGCACCTTAACCAGTGACCCTGTGCTGTGTGGGGTAGTCCCGTAGCTGTGATGTTGATGGGAGGTGGACCAGAACTCACCAGGACTGCAGGATGTCCAGGCCTCCCTCCGGTGGGCCCCCGTTGCCCGCCAGCTGTTGCCGTCTCTTCCACTGGATGAGCTCGTCATCCAGAATAATGGTCTGCTGCTTCCTCAGCAGCTGCAGTGTTTTCTGGTGCTTCTCTGCAAGGTCCTGCACATCAAAACAAACATGGATGCTGACTCCAATCACACATTTGCACTCTTGCGCACACACCCTTTAAGAGGCCCTGCAAAGGGTTTTGGGTTTTGCACTGTGTCCATAAATGCTTGCCGTAGTTGCCTGTTTCTGGCTGTCTATGGAGCACATGGGTTGTTTCCTGTCAACTAAATCCTTGCTCAAATCCTAGGGTCTTTATGTCTGTAAGTACCATTCCATATATTGTCCGTGTATACTTAGTTGCACATTTAAATTGATTATATGCAAACATGAAGAACAATGAATGATGCTAAACTTGTTAGCCTGTGAACAGCAGTGGAAATGTTTGTAGCATTTATGCTAACAGGTACTCTGTTGTTTGGAATGTTTGTTTTAGTCTTGTTTCTTTGTTTATTTAGTGTTTAATGTGACAACGTCTCATGACTTTGGGTTTTGTTTTTATTTTAGTTTTACAAAAATGGAAATGAAAATGGAAATGAAAATGGAATTTAATCAGTAAACATCCAAAACTGAGCTGCTGTCTCCTGGGTGTTTATTTCCGTGTGAAGCTATCTGCCAAGCCTGAGATCCGAAAAGTATTCTTGCGAGGGCAGAATACATACAGTATGTTTTCTTAAAAGGTCCCCTATTATATTGTTTTTCATCAATATATTATAGGTCGCAGACAAAACATGTCTCTGAAGTGTTTGGCTCGAAATACCAAACAGATCACCCATTGTAGCATGCAGTGTTGTAGTCAAGTCACCAATTCACGAGTCCAAGTCACCCTTGAGTCCCCACTTTTTCGAGTCCGAGTCACCTAGGGAGAGTCGGAGTCGAGTCCGAGTCTGAGTCCGAGTCCGAGTCCAAGTCTGAGTCACCCAAGGAGTGTCCGAGTCGAGTCCGGGTCATCATTACCTGTGTTTGAGTCAGAGTCCAAGTCTGAGTCACCCAAGAAGAGTCCGAGTCACAAGTCTTCGTGGATATATGTGTTGAAATGTAGCTGCTCCTCTACATTGCTTTTATCCCTGTCA